AACAAAGTTCATGGGAATCAAGATATTGAAAATGGAAAGTGCCCGCTGTACATTGTATTTCAAAGAAGAAATTATTAGAGAAATCATCAGATTAGATTTTGACATAATTGCATATAAGATCAATACGTTGAGAAATATATCTTTTTTTTATTTTTATCACAATATTCTTGATCTTACTAAAAATCTTTTAGTACGTACAAATCATGAAGTTGATGGTGAGTCTGTCATTAAGACATTTTGTGATATTTTGAATGATAGCATTGAGAGCTACTGTTTAAGAGAATGTTTATTGTACTACAAAAATGAAATTATGAATGATCTGAAAAGAAAATAAAATGAGATGAAAAATTACTTGTTTTGTTGTAAACATGGACGTACCTACCTTTTTGTTTTGATTGGGTGTTAATAAAACAAAATAATAATTAATATAGTTAATTTATTGACATTCAAAATGATAATTCAATACATTACATATGACATCAAATTGAAAGGATTCCATTGTGAAAATCTCTCTTAAATTAAAACATTCTCAAGACGAATTTGACCCAAATGAATCAATCGAGAATACTGTAATGACCATAAGGTAAAGTGTCAGTGGTGTTTTTCAATAAATATCGCTTATCATCATGAGGACTTAGTGCCACTTTGGTTTGTTCAATGGAATAAACTCTATGATTATGTGATTGAATAGACCTTTGACTTTCATGTTTTTCTTTATTTTCTTGTAAACATTCTAAATAGTCCTCAAAAGTTATTTTTTGTTTAACTGCATAATACTTCACGCCTTTTGCTTTCTTTATGCATTTTTTCCCATCATTTTCACCCCTTCTACTATTCTTGTTGACACTACCTTCAACCAGAAATGTGTATTGTTTCGATCGCAGCCCTACAAAATCTGTCATTATATCACCAGAAGTCTCATTTTTAAATAATCCAGGAACTTTTTTATTAACCAAGGGGATATTATACTTATTGTCAGGAGGATAATCACTGGTATCAAACTTATCTATATCATTTTTGATAACTTCTTCGTAGACATCATCACAATGCAATTCATAAATTAAGCTATCTGTATCGGTGTAAAGCAATTTGCAATTATTTTGGTCAAACTTTTTCAACATATATCCATAATGAAAGTCATAAACACATATTTTTGAGATATCTAATATAGCCATACCAATATAAAGGGGTTTATTGAATATGACATCAGTTTTTTTCATCTCAACAGCCATGAGGTTCTCATCAAAAATTGATCTATCATGAAAATTTGGAGAAGAAATCAAATGTCTTGCCCCATATCGACCTTCCCAACTATTCACCAGTTTCACGATTCTATGTTTACGAACATTTTCCATAGTCTTGCCGTAAACAGCATTGCTGAGCGTTTTGAAAGTTTGTTTGCCAAACTCATCTGTGGATTGGGTTCGTAATTTAGTGTTCAATTCAATGTACGGTTTCAAGAAAGGGGCTTGGTTAAATCTAAGAATTCGGTGGATTTTTTGGAGAATAAGCCCGTTAGTTATGCATTGCTTTAAACTTCTATAGTGCAAAATATATTTTTCCTTATCATACAGAGTGGTCATCAATTTTGGTAATTTTGATTTAGGAGGTACAAGGTGTTCGGCAGCGAGAGGTAAATCTTTATGGAGATAATAATAATAATAATAATAATAATAATAATTTATTTTCTTTGTGACATGCAGTTACATGTATAGAATTGGTCAAGGACGATTACTAAAGCTAAAACTAACTAACTTAAATATAACTAAAACTAAGTCTTCAAAATTCATCTAAGGAGTAAAATCCACCATTTATTAGGTATTTCCTAAGACATTGCTTGAATGCTTTCAATGTTACACATGATTTAATTTCGGCCGGAAGTTTATTGAACAGCCTTTGCCCAGTCACAGTAGGTGATCTGTATAAAAGATTTGTTCTTGAAAATGGCACATGTAGGTCATTTTGCTGTCTTGTGTTGATAGAATGAATTTGTTTGTTAGTTTTAAAAGAGGTTATGTTAGAAAATATAAAAACACATACTTCAAAAATATACAAACACGGTAAAGTTAAAATTTCATAAGATTTAAAAAAACTTCGACAACTAGTGGTACGAGAAACACCAGCGATACAACGAATTAATTTCTTCTGCGAGATGAAGACATCATTGAAACAAGTGGATGATCCCCAAAAACATATTCCGTATCTTAGTGTAGAAACACAGTGGAAGCAGGTTACCTGCTTTCCGGTGGCCGGCGCATATCGGTGCTGGTAAGCTTTAGAAACTAATATATATTTTCAAATAGGTGGTAACACAGTGCAAGCAGGTTGAAGCTTGTCGGCGCCGGTGACCGGCGCCGACTTTTTTGTCGGAATCAAAATGCAGTTCTTTCTAGCTGGTTGTACACGCTGGTTGTGTTTTGAAAAGAGAAGAAAATGGATATTGAAGTATTAATTGCTGCAGTATTCAAAAGAACCCCTATATGGGATAAAAGACATAAGTTACATAGCAACCGAAATTCAGTGGACAGGTATTGGAAGGAAATAAGTAATGAAATAATTGAAGATGGTAAGTACAATGTTTATTTAGCTTCGATTGATAATACCTGAAATAATATAAAGATAATATTCATATTATTTTTAAGTATATGACAAACGATTTCCAGAGAAATATGTAACAAAAATATCTCGAACATTTTTAGCTGTCGTTAAAGGTCGTCCAGTAATTTTTTTTTCATTATTGTTATTAAAAAATTCTTCAGACACATCAGTAAGGTGCCGTTCAAATCCTTCCTTGTCAATGATAGTATTGTGCAAGATACATATGCATTTGACAATGTTGTCTACTGTCTTAATGTCGGTTTCAATACATTTTGAAAGGAGGCGCCATTTAGCTGTTATAATCCCAAAAGAACACTCTATGGTTTTTCTAGCACGAGATAAGCGCTTATTAAAGCAATCTTCTTGCATACTAAGGTTCTTTCCACCAAACGGTTTCAAGAGGTAAGGAAGAAGTGGGTATGCCTCGTCTCCTATTAATACAAATGGAGCTTTCGTTCTTGTTCGGGGCAGAAAACAGGGTTCTGGGATATCCATTTGACTATTTTCTAACAAATGATACAGTTGAGAAGCTTTGAATGTACCACCATCACTCTGTTTGCCATATCCGCCTATATCTATAGCAATAAATTTATAATTAGCGTCTGCCACCCCTTGTAAAACGACAGAAAAATAATTTTTGTAATTATAAAACATTGAACCTGATTTTCGTGGACAGATAATGCGAATATGCTTCCCATCGATGGCCCCAATGCAATTGGGAAAATTCCAAATACTATTGAAATTGTTTGCTATGTTTTGGAAATCTTCTCTCTTTGGTACAGGCATGTGGAGTGGTTGTAATTCATCCCATATTGCAGTAACTGTCTCTGCAACAATCTGTCCTGCTGTAGATGCTCCAATTCGAAATGAAAAAGAAATAGACCTGAACGATGATCCGGTAGCCAAATATCTGTAACAAATTTCAATTTTGAATCGTTTCGTGTTTTGTGAACATAGTTCGTATTGAATCTCTGATAGAAGTCCATATTTGCTCAAAGTGGAGTGGAATTTTTAACGGAGGGAAAATGATGTAAAATGTTCTCCTTCCCTCCGTTAATAGTTCGTATTGTCTTTATTATTATGATAATTCTCATATTATCACCATCGAGCAATCAGGTAAGTAATCTTTTGTTTTTTTTTCAGAGGCCAAAGTGAGAAAAAAGTGGAAATACCTACGTGACCAATTTTCGGTTGAATTGGGGAAGTTGCCTGTTAGACGTTCAGGAGATGCTGCAGAAGATGACCTGCAATCTAAATGGCCATATTTTTCGCAGCTTCTCTTTCTGAAGGACATAGTGAAACCAAGAGCTTCCAGCGGAAATTTATCTAGTGCTAGGAAATCCACCCAGCAAACTTATGAGTATGACGCTAGCCAAGCCTCTACTGGAGGTGATCGTCTTGACGAAGATGAAGATGACAACCAAACCACACAAGATTCCAACCAAGATGAGATTGTTTCCGAAAATATTGAAGAGGGTGGCACCGAAAATAATGAAGAAAATGGTACCGAAAATGTTAAAAAGGATAGTGTACATAATAACTTAACTTCTCCAGCAAGTACCTCGACTGTGACCCCTGTGACTAAAAGAAGACGAACACTAAATGACACATTCAACGCTTCTGTATTAGAAATTGAAAAACGTAAACTGGAATACCTTGAGGCAAAATCCAAGAGAAATAAGGACCAAGAGGATGAGCATCTCCTGTTTTTCAAAAGTCTCTTACCTCATGTGAGAAAAATTCCACAATCCCGAATATTATCGTTTAGATGTCGGGTTCAGGAATTGGTCAACCAGTCAGCATACAATGAAACAGCAATCTGTACACAACCATCAACTTCTTCTTCGCCATTTTCTTGTTCAAACTCCTCGGGCTATGGAGTACCAAACCAGAATATTCCCCCATCAGATGACAATACTACTGCATACAATTTCTCACTAACGGATTATACCGATTTGTAAGGTTCAATATATTATAATAAAGTATTCGTTCCTAACTTTGATTTTATTCATGATAAATCAAATAACTTAGGTACCTCAAAGTGATCACAAATCTTTCTTCAGGTAGAATCGGCTGCTTATGTAGATTACACCAATTTTTAGTTAGTCGGTGCTGAATTTTTTTCAAAATATACTGAAATGTTTCCCGATTCATTCGCGTGTATTGGAAGAACCTTTTCTCATCATTTTTCAATTTTTTAAATAAGTGATGATATTCTCCGAACTCTGACCTAACGTGATTTAGGGGATGGATACCGACTTTTTTTCTTGACAATTTCATAGCTACAGAATCTAGAGCAATCATATCATCGGATGATGATGACGACGACATCTTTTCTGCTCAAAGTTTCAAACAAAACTACCAGTTTCAGCCTGCTATTACTCGCTTTTACTCTGTCCACTCTAAGCGCGAGAAAACGGCGCCTATCGGCGCCGGCTGTCGGTAAGCGGAAAGTCTGCTTCCACTGTGTTTCTACACTTAGTCGGGATTCGGCCTGTGCATAATATAACATTATCAATTGTTTCTCTGTTAAAACTGATCTCATGTTTCTGAAAAGATAGATAACGGAGTTGAGTTTTAAAATAACTGACTCACAGTGTCTCCTCCAGTCAAGGCACTCATCAATGTATAGGCCTAGAAACCTCACGTATGACACATTTTCCAACACTTTATTATTGATGTTTAAATGTATCTCTGGTACTTGTTTTTGTTTTTGATGAAAATGTATTGACTGTGTTTTTTCTGCATTCAGATGAAGTGAATTCATGCAGAACCAATCATACAACCTAGAAAGAACTTCATTACATTTTTCCTCGAAGGAATAATTAGATTTTTCCGATATGAGTATGGATGTATCGTCCGCATACAGCGTAAAATGTACAGATGGGCACGCTTTAACGATGTCATTTACATATATTAGGAACAATATTGGGCCCACCACTGACCCTTGAGGAACACCTACACTGATATGAAGATTATCCGAGTTACAGGCGGTAGACACTGATTGCTCGGTCGCACCTGGAAGACTGACGTATTGGCGACGTGCGTGCAAATAAGATTTTATCCATTCCAGGGCAAGTCCCTCAATACCAATTCTAATCAACTTGTTTATTAGGATATTGTGGTTGACGCAGTCGAACGCCCTGCTGAGGTCACAGAAGATTCCAACAGGGCACTCGCCCGCATCAACCAGATTTGTCAGGTTTTCATAAAAGGAGTGTACGGCACTGTTCGTCGATTTGTTTGCTTGAAATCCATGCTGGTTGTCAATTATTATATGATTCTGATTCAAGTGACGATTCAGTCTCTCAAGATAGGCATATTCGAATATTTTTGAAAATATAGAGGGAATAGTTATAGGGCGATAATTAGCAACCTGCATTGGATCACCTTTTTTTAGAATTGGAACGACCCTGCCGGTCTTCAGGCAATCAGGAAAATTACCATTTGAGAACGAGAGGTTGACAAGATAGGCCAAAGGAGATATTACAGAAATAACAACCTTTTTCAGCAAAAATGATGGTATATCGTCAAAGCCATAAGAGCTCTTATTTTTCAACTTAATCCGTAATACATCGTATAACTCCATCTGCGTATAAGGATACAATAAAAACATTGTTTGCGAAGAGTTTGTGGGCTCATCAACAGAATCCGTAGCAGAACTACACGGTATAGTCTCAATTATATCGAGTGGGGCATTTTTAAAGAACAAATTGAAACAATTTGCAACATCGACAGGATTATCTAGTGGTCTATTTTCATTCGATAGCAATGATACGTTTTGTTTTTTTATATCTCTATTTTTTGTAAAATCATTTATTACTTTCCATGCGCTTTTTGTGGGATTATCAGATGATTCAATTATGTTCTGATAATGTTTCTTTCGCGTTGACTTCAATAGATTTATATGAACCTTTTTTTGGTTTTTATAATATTCGCGCAGTTCAGGATACGTCCTTGAGAGAGCATGTAAGTTTTTTAGGTCTGTTGACGATTGTCGGACATCATTATTTATCCACTTAGTATTTCTATTTACAGATTGTCTCGTTATTAAAGGAAAATGTACATTGAAGTGAAAGGAAAAAATGTTCATAAAATAAGTAAATGCTTCATTTGTATCCAGTATACCATACAACTGATTCCAATCCTCAGTCATGAGGCTACGATTAAAATCATTTATGGAGTTATCAGTGAAATGTCTCGCCCGATAAAAATTCGGAGCAGCTGTGACACCGCAGTCAACTTCCACCAGAACAGTCCGATGATCTGATACAGTATTGTCAAATACGCACGATAAACCAGGATTGGAGAAATTTACAAAAACATTATCAATAGTTGTAGCGCTGTCTCTCGTCACCCTAGTTGGCCATTTGACAAGATTATTAGTAACATTATGAGTAGATAAAACATTTAACAACTTATTATGGTCATTATTGCGAACACCAGTATTGACATTGAAATCGCCACATACAGCAATATAGGTATTAGGTTTAAGAATGCGATTTAAGATACAATCAAGATTCTCTAGGAATATGTCGAAATCACCTGATGGCGATCGGTAACAATTTAACACAATAAAATGTTTACCATATCTGTCCTGAATGGAGCAGTAGCAGAATTCTGAATGCTTATCAATACAAAATTGTTTCAAATTAACATTATTGTTATGTATAATTCCTTTTTTAACCCATATTCCTACTCCACCACCCTTCACCTCTGCATTACGAGTATAACTACTTGCTAATATAAAACCTTCAAGGCAGATTTTACTAACTGAATCTGCATTTTCCCACAGTTCAGTGAAACATATAATGTCAATATTTTTGAAGTTATCGATCTCTAGAAGAATTTCACAAATTTTATCATTATTGATACTTTGCACATTCATCACCAATAAGTTTGGATTGAACATTACCTCTGGAGCTGGGAATGCTTGCGTAGGTATAAAAAATTGTTAACACACGCATTTTTTGGCCAGACTATCGGGTCCATTGCTTTTCCAAAATTCTCTTGATAGATCCGAACCTTGAAAGAAGCATACAGATCTGGATAACGAGATTTCATACTTTCGCAAATTACCTCCGGAAAGTGAGGTTTAAGTAGATTTTGCATGGAAGTCACATCGGTAGAAGGATCAATCCTGTAGACATGCAAGTCAACAAATTTTGGAACTCCTTTGATAGATCCGGCGATTCCGTCAGTACCAGTACCAACAACCAATTGTCTACTCTTTTTGTTTCTATGAGTTACCTTTTTCCATTGACCATTTGTGGGTGAAATGTCTTCATTTAGATCTGTCACGTTTTCTTCTTGTATTGTGAGTCCTTTACTTCTGGCAGAAGAATTATTATTTGATGTAGATTTATCTTTAACAATATGCTTGGCAGTATTGGAGTCACTAGGATTCGTAAGATTGATATAACTTTGGCACTTTTCTTTTGTTTCGTTTTCCATCAGAGCACAGGATACTTGATTTTGCGTGATTACGGAAATTTTCGCACAGCTGGCAACACCGCTCGAGCAAGTTGGTTCGGTGAGCGAGACATTTGCCTGCTGTGTTTTTTTAGCATAGGTCAGTTTTTCCAAAGTTTTTGTGGGATCTGCATTATTTGTTCTTTTTGCAGTGCCATTCTCCTTGAATAGATCGATTTGATCATTTAACATCTTGATTTTTTGACGTAATTCGTCAATTATCAAATCTTTTTGTTTAATCACATAGCTAAAAATACTTATGTCTACCTTTTTTTCTGGTGATAGGTTCTCGATGGCATCAAAGAAGGCCTGGTCATTATCACATTCATTATTACTCACAGATTGTGTAGATGGTTCACAGCATGTGATTAAATCGTTACTAATTGATTTGACGAAGCCACAGTTTTTTGCACAACTTGTATGAAAGTAATTTTCACAATTGTTACACTTCACACCATTTACTACAGTTTTCTTACACTTCTTACAATTTTTATTCTTGAGCGAGCTCTCAGATGCGACCGTGCTGTTCGGCATCTTGTCTCGATCATGAAGAGATTCCGGATATTTCATATCAACTTCAAGTATATATCCTACAGGGGACTCATCGGAAATTGCAAATACATCAAAATTATCGATGTTCTGCTCCCATTCAAATCCTGAATATGGAAGATATTGGCACATTGCCCATCCATAGAGGTTATTAACATCAAGATAAAGTAAATATTTTGGAGGTTCGTTGATTTTGAAATTAGTCATATATTTATTGTTCGCCATTGAATGCCTATTGGAACATTGGCTTATACCTCCTCTAATGCCCTTTTCTATAAACATTAAAATGTCTACATCCTGAATTGTTTCTAACCGACATTTCGTATATTTCAACATACAATCCCAGGTGAATCCTGGAAGCGTGTAATAGTATGCAGGATCTAAATTATAATTCGCATGACACATGCTTCGAAAATTCTCGAAAACATCGGCCAGTAATAAAATGTCAGTTTTGAGATATAAATCTGAGTAATCACCTAAAGTTTCAATTTGAAATTCATTCCAAACATTCTGAGCATGATTATAATCTTCATCTTTGATATGTTGATCTGTTAATTTACTATAAAAATATTTCTTTGCTGGCAATTTGTTTTCATTGAGTTTTTCCAAATTATCCAAATAGTAATAACAGAATACACCTTTTCTACACAGTAAATTTAGTTTATCTTCATGAATCCCCAGAAATTCATTTCGTAGATTTACCAATGCTGTTTTATCGAGGAAACTCACTAAATCATCTAATTTGAATGCCATGAATCGAATCGGTATGAATCCACAAATCTTAATTTTAATTTTGTTTTTGGATTATACTTTGTGAAACTGATATACCTCTCTTTGTTGATAGGTAGCAAGGTGATGTGCGAATGTTTCGCTAAATCTCTGATAATGAAGTGGCTATCGTAGCCAGATAAGTTGTGGAAAAAAACTGGTACAACGCGTGATTTTCTGTAGTTAAGATTACAATTAGAATGACAAAATCCACGAAATCTCCCTGTATAATGCTCGTGGTCACGTACGATAGTATCGGACGTCGTGAAAGGTTCTTCACAAATGTGGCATGTAGTTTTGTCTTGAACATCTTGATTATCTATCTTCATCGGTATATTGACTTGCAATTTCGAGTCTATGAGATCTGTTACGGCATTCATTTCATTAACGAACCATTCGATACAATCAGTACCTCTATAACTCTTGTAAAAAGTCAAATTCTGGTCATAATTACATTTCAAGTAATAGCCTACACTGAACGCTTCATGTTTCTGATAGCGAGCTGTTTTTATGAGTTTTTTTCTCTGTTTCTCTTCGAATGGTATGAGCAAAGACTCAAAATCGGCATAAATTACGAATGGCAATTTTTCTTTATGGTGAAAATTCTTGAAAGATATGTATTTCTCTTCTGAAAATGATATTTTAGTTGTGTTCACTTTTTGACAATGAATACTGTGTGAATCCAATGTATCTTGTTTTGTAAAATAGTTTAAACATCTATCACATACATACTTTTTACCGTTGTGTTTTCCTATCTGACTAGAAATTAATCGTGATAAATTTTTTATCCAACAAAAATGAAATTTTTTATCGACAACATTGTCATCGAAAAATGATGGTTCTTCAACATCTCCATCGAGTGCCATCAAGTTTTCCCTGACAACATATTCATCTTGAATCATCAATAAATTGACATGTCTTTCTGGAATCTTATTCTTAGTAATCCTTATTGGAACCGTAGTCATCTGTTTATTCCGATCCATTTCCAGAATGAACACATTAACAGATAAATTGTTCAAAACTTCGAATTTTGAAATCTGGTTCAACCTCATAGGAAATTGAATACCTGTCACATTCAAAACCTCACTGTAATGCGGATACGAAGAAGTTCTGAAAGAGTTACGTTGTGCAGGAAATAAACATGAAGTGATAGCCCATGCAAAACAAGCTTCATCTGCATTTTTTACATTGACACAAGCTCGCTTACGTTCGATTTGGCTAGGAAGTTTAATGTAGGATGCACCTCCATTCCCCATTTCCACCTTGTTTATATTGACTTCTAAACTAACTATTTTGTGTAAGGCCCAACCACTATCACGTTCTTGGAACTCATCTAATTTATTCAAGAGAACGTCAATCACATTGTTTTCATACCATTTTTTCAAATCAACACCAATGTCAATGATGAAATTTTTCGTATTGAGATATTTGTATTCAATTATTACTTCATCATTTTTATTATTCTTCATGAATTCACCACAAAAGCAAGTATTAACTTTCATAACATGAAATGTTTTCAACATTCTGTTTATTCTGTTTTGAAAAAGGGAAAATGAATCTTCCAAGAACTGTTTAACATCAAGGTGTTTCAAATTAATTATTATTCCTGATCGAATGCGTCCTGAAAAAGCCGACTGTATATCTTCCCACCTAATCCTTTCTTTCCTCGTTTTTCCAGAGTATGCACTAAGTCCACTACCAATATGCGATATGCAAAGATCATTAATCAATTTTCTGAATCGTTTCAAGTGTCCGATATTAGTTTGAAGTTTTTTCAACGATGAAACATTCATATGCGTTTCTCTGATAGCTTTATTGAATAACCTTTGATGATGATCATTCAATTTGATCCAGTGTTTTTTGGTTGCTGAATTAGTGGAATCTGAGAGAAGCTTGAATGCTTTATTGAATAAACTCACGATGTAATCACTCGTTTTGGCAATATCAGATTCCTCCATTTCACTTCTTCTTATGACACCACAAATCTCGATTTCAACGTACAATAATAATATACAGATAACACTTTGAAAATTATTTTATATTTTGGGAATTCAATCAATGAATTTCTTTTTTCTTGGTGGTTCTGACAAGTCTAATTCTTCACAATTACCTGAGTTTGAATGTTTCTTTTTTGGTGGTTCTGACAATTTAAATACCACAGATCTATTTGAGTCAGAACTACAACCTTGTTGCATACAATCGAAATGATTTGTAGAATTATTTCCACATGGACTATCTTGTAACGTTTCTGAGCAGTACAAATTTGTATTATCGACTCCTGATATATTTTTTTCATCAGACGGTTTCGAATTGTATGCTGCTTGAAGATTTGACAGAGTAGAGAGAAAATTATGCAAACCTATAGAATTTTTACAAAAACAATAATATTTTTCACAACGGCAACAATATTGAGTGTCCATATCTAAATATTATCAAAATTTCATTATAGAACGCACTCACTCGCAATGCTATTTCTTCGCAGTTTCGACCAACTCAAATTGGTAAGCCTCCTTCGGTTTCCCTACGTCTTTAAGTCCTTTGTATACCAGGGAATACTTGCCTGGAACAAATTTTGCTTCTTGTCCCTTCAGTAAATGTGTTACTCTGTTGGGTAGAAACACAACGTTGTTGTCCAGCTCGACGAGAATGCTATTACCAAATCGGGTCTTGACGACACGTAGTGAACTTATAGGATACGGTGTATCAGCATGCAGATCAGACAACTTGATGCTTTCTTTTCTAGCCAAAGATCCTTCCTTATTGATTGCTTCGAGATCCATCTGCAATGAAGATGGAAATAGTGTAGAAATATTCAAATCATCTTCAAAAGTTGAACCGAATCATACACACTGATGAGACAATATTATGTAACATAACATTACTTACCCACCTTGAGAATGTTTTATGTTGGTTTTCACAAGTTTAAGAAGAACTTTCACAATGCAATGCTTTCCACATTACCTTCTATTTCTTTTATACCTTCTTGGGCCCTCATTAAAATAAATTATGATTATTCAGCAATATTACTGACGCAAATCATTATATCGCTAATTTGTTTTTCCAGAAATTTCTTATCAGTCTTATTAGGTCTATTTCTCTGTTTGTGCAATGAGTGCACATTTTTATAGATTGCAGTAATATCGGAGTTAATGGCGCATCATTATAATGCTAATTTGCGCGACCAGAATCGCCGTGTACAGGGCGATCCGGAATCACAGGGTGATCCTTCGACACCGTTAAGACCTTCTCGCAATTCATTGAAAAACAGACAATATTCACATCACGAAATCACATAGAACTTCATCTATTGAAAAAGTAGAATTCCAACTCACATAGGGTTTTACCTATTGGGAACTCTAGATCATGAGTTGAAGTAACGCCCTATGTGATCTGTCCCTCTCTTCAGGTTACCAACTCACATACGGGTGTTTACATGTTAGCGTTTTGGGAAAAAGTAGAATTCCAACTCACATAGGGTTTTCAGTACTTCGATTTCTAAATCAAGTACAAGTACTGAAAGGCCTATGTGATTTAGTTCTCTCTTTAGGTTACGAACTCACATAGGGGTTTACATGTTAGCATTTTGTGAAAAAGTAGAATTCCAACTCACATAGGGTTTTACCTATTGGGAACTCTAGATCATGATCTAGAAGTCCCAATAGGTAAAGCCCTATGTGAGCTGTGGCTCTCTTTGTCTTACTACTAAAAGCTGATCAAAAAAAATCTTGTACCAACACCTGCATCGGAAAATATGATGTCATTGTCTTCATCGCAGAAGCCTGAAGACCTTTTCTATCTCAAACCGAATAATAATACTTTGAAGAGTGAAATTTTTTGCAAACATCATGTAATCGATTTCACTCAGAACAATAGTTTGGCCAACATATTGGTGTTTTCGTCGAGGATCTTGGAAAATGACATTCATCATGTGTCAGATCAGCCTGTAAATATTATTTACCTCAGGGGCCTTCTACAACGACAGACCATCTCACACGATCTACGAATTTGCCATCGATGCTGACCCTGGTTACGCTATCGACGAAACGCCGAATCACCTCATTTATTTACCCATCGCTGCCCATACAAACGAAATCTACAACATCACGCTCAGAGTGCTCGATCACAACCTTCAACTGATCAATTTCCGAAACGAAGAAGTCATCATCCCATTGGAACTGAAAAAATTATGGTCCTGAGTGTTTATAAGAGTCGCACCT